GTCACCTGTAAACGCAATTTCAAGTCTATACTAGTGTTTCTATACGTGTTTACCAATGAAAAGATAACTTGATTCTGGTTGATAAAACCCAACCAGAACAACGCTCCGATGATTCAAACGTGACCCATAAGTAAAATAAATTAGTTGAATCAACAGTTAGATCTGATATCTTTTGTCCTGGCTTTTGAGGGAAATGGGCCAGTGAGAGATAAACCCCTGTTCTAGATGTAAGCTTTGTGGAGAAAGACCACTGTGAAAATCTTCTTACATCAAAATGGACAAAAGTTGGGGGAAACATTCAAAAAGTTCATGCCTTGGTGTCTGGATGGAGATGCCAGCAGATCCTATTGCCTCCCCACTGTGAGGAGAATGCCACAAGGCCTGACCCTATTTCTCCTCTTCTCTCAGAAAGAGCAAGATGGGTCAGGGCCCAGAAGTACTATGAGGAGGTTCACTGCTTTACTAGATTGCTCCAAAATTAATTCAACTTATTAACTACTCTAACTGCTCTAATCTTCCAGATGCTGCTGCCCCCATGAGTGGCCCTGGTGGGTGATGGCGATTTGGAAGCTGTGATGGGAGCTCCAACCCACTCCATTTGAGACCATCACTTAAGAAGGGCCAGAACCATATTGGATTCATTTTCTGAGAGAATCACATGGCTACTTCCCTATTTTACTTCCTGGGCCTTGAATCTGAAGCTTTTTGAATCCTGTCAGCATTTCGACTTTCTGATTTCTTTTTTAAAACAGAGGCTGAGTCAGAGGACCTCTCTTTCCTCTATAGCTCCTTCCAGCAACAATTTTCCATACTTCTAGGAGCAGAGAATATTCTATCACCTTTGTCTCTAGATTTCACTCTCTACATATTGCGACGTCTGAACGTTTTCGCACAAGCTCCTTGGAGTTCTGCTTTTCTGTTAGTTTGGTCATGCTGCGGGTGTGCAGGAAAGGGGCTGGGCTGAGCGGGCCACCTGAGTGGGGAGAGTGTTGCCTCTTCATGGTGAGGTCGCAGGGTGTGTGTGTGTGAGGGGGCAGCATGGGAAAAGCAAAGATGTGGCCAATGGAGTCTGAGAACTGGGGAGGTAGAAGGTGGGCAGTCAGAGAGCTCGGCCATCGGAACATGAACCCTTGCTCTGCACCTAACAGGTGTGACACTGGACAAGTCAATTAACTCCTATGGATCTGACTCCTTATCTATCAAATAGGGGAGGGACATGGGGGATGCTATGGTCTCTCATATACTGGCCTCTCCCAGGAGACTCTGGGCTGCTTGAAGTTAGGCTATGATTTCTACAACCTCACAGACATGATGCCCACCGAAGGGTCTGGCACATGATTGTATCAGTTGGGCACGAATTTGGCCACAAGTAACAGAAATCCACTAAGTGTGTAACATACTGAGGTTTCTTTTCTCCTTTACAAGAAGACCCCAGCGCTCCAGGGTTGGCTAGGGTGCTCAGTGAAGCACTGTTTTTGTTGTTGTTTGTTTGTTTTTAGTTTTTCTTTTCTTTATTATTCTTTTCAGTGAGGCTTTTGAGGACCTAGATTCTTTCCCTCCTCCATCCTGGGCATGTTGGCTTTCGTTCTCATTCTTGCTAACGTACAGTCCCAGGGTAGCTGCCACATTGTTAGATGTCAAACCCACATTCAGGGCAGGAGAAAGGGGAAAGAGGTGGCACCAGCCATTTCTGTCCTCTTTAGAATGAAAATAAGAGCTCTTCCCCAAAGCCACATCAGGGTATCTAGGCAATAACTGGGTCATGTGACCATGGCTAGCTGAAAGGGATACAGGGAAAGCAAGTGTCTGTCTGGATTTCCAGCTTCTACAGTGGGAGGTAGCAAGGGGGGGGGTAGTTGGAGCTGTTGGGCTCAACAAATATTTTTATTTATTTTTAAAGACTTTATATATTGTGAGAGAGAGACAGAGGGAGGAAGGGAGGGAGAGAGAGTGGGGGGAGGGGCAGAGGGAGATCGAGAATCTCAAGCAGACTCTGTGCAGAGCCTGATGCAGGGCTCGATCCCATCACCCTGAGATCACGACGCGAGCCGAAATCAAGAGTCAGACGCTTGACGGACTGAGTCACCCAGGCGCCCCTGGGCTCCACAAATATTTTTAAATAAATACGACTTGAAGGTAAGGTGAAATGCTTCTCTTTTCCCAAGAGGAAGATGCACAGGCAATTATTTTGTGGAAGCAGGCACTGCCCTGGACGTGCTCTTTAGTTCTTCATACTGCTGTCCTGTCTTCATGTGGTCAGGTCAGGACCTGAGGTTCTTCTCACAGGTCTGGGTAGGAGGAGGCACTAGAGCCAGAGCTGAGTCCACGAGGAGCCTATCCCAGGGAGTTGGTGGAGATGTTCCTGGCTCTGGCTGGCCTTCCTTAGCTGCCGATTCTCACCCACCGGCCCGACGCTGGAACCGAAGGGTGCCAGGTTCGCAGTGAAGAGGAAACGGGCCAGAAGGTGGCCCTGGGACACAGAGCGTCATCTCCTTGGCTGGGCAGCGGGGCTGCAAGCACGAAGGGTTGAAGGGCAAACTGCCTCCCGAGTGCCTGGCACACGAGAGGCACCTTCCTAACTGTGAGATGCCATCCCTTCTCGCTATTAATAAGAACGATGCTTCCTTTCTCCTTGCCCTCCTTCCTCACAAGGACCCCCTTTCCTCATATCACCCAGATATGTCTGGACAAGATACCAAGACACAAGCTTGAACCCTGCAGTTCCCTGACTCCACTTCCACTCGCCTGGGGCTTTCGGGGCCGACCTCGGGCAGAAGGACACACTTAGGAGCTTCCTCGGGTGCGTCTCAAGGACTCGCGTTGGGTAAAGTGTCCTCACACGGAATCTGGCCTTGTGGGGAGACAACCTGGAAGCCCTAATCACTGCTTTCAGGAATCTTCCCCTCACGGGCATCCTTCTATCTCCCGGGGGAGTTTTATTCCATGGGGTTTCGGGACACAATGAAGAGGAAACTACACCCGGGATCCCTTGCCCACAAGAAGTTCAAAGTTCTCTGGCAGAGATCTCTCCTACATGGACAGGAGCACTTCGGAGTGTTATCTCCGAATATCACTGCTTTTACAGCCGTCGCCTGTTTTTTTTTGTTGCATTACACATTAACAGATGTGAAGAGAAAGAGAGGTCGCCGGTTCCGCGTCTGGCGGCAGGGCAGTCACTGATGTCAGGAGATGACCGCTGGGTGTGGGCTCACCCGTTGTTCCTTCCTTTCATCTCTCAGGCCCGGAGGTTGTAAAGTGGACTGATTAGGGAGGCAGGCTTAGGAACCCGAGTCTTGAGTTTAGATCTTGACTTGGCCATTTCCTAGCTCTGCAGCCTTGGGCACATTATTTATTCTTCCCGAACCTCATTTCCTTATCCACCAAGTGGGCAAATTTGTATCCATCCCACGGCATTAATAGAAGCGTTAAATAAAATACTATGTGAGAAGGCGTTCTGCAGAGCGTTCAGTTGCAAGTTCAAAAAAAAACCCAATCCAAACAACTGAGGCAAAAGGGGAATGCACTAACTGAGGTCATAAAGAAGAGCTTCAGGTGTGGCTAGATCCAGGGGCTCAAACTCTGCCTTGAGGTCCAGATTTCACTCAACTTTTACTCCCTTCCCTGCACATTGGCCCTCTCCTCAGGTGGGCTCTCCCTCAGTGGGGCAAGGGGCCGGCAAGAACGCTAGTCTTCCTTGCAGTCCCACGAAAAGTGTCATTGCATCTTGTCTGCTCTGAATGGATTATCCTGGAACCAACGCAATGTTTTGACTAGTCACAAGCCCACGTCTGGAGCGAGGGATGGAGTCAATACTGCCTGCACGGAACGCAAGTGCACTCGTTTCCAGGCAGAAAACTGAGGTGCCATTGCCAAAGGAAGCCGGAATAGATGTTCCCAAAGCTGGCTGCACGCCAGAATGACCAACTTCAAGAAAAATAACAACAGTTCTAGGAAGCTGGCAATTGATTCCCTCAGCCTGGGGTGGAGCCTAGAAGTCTAGGTTTCCAACAAGCTTTCCTGCTGCCAAGACTAGCATCTGGGTCTCCAGGGGCCCCCGTCCCTCCCTCCCCACTCTGCACTGGATGGATCTGTTGACACCACTGTTCCCTCCCAGAGTGCAAACCCCCAGAGGGCAGAGGTCCAGGCAGCAGCTCTGGGTACCCAGCCTGGAGGAGCGAGCACCCACAGCATATTCGCAGGCGGGCGGGCAGGCCGGCAAGTTGCCTCTTCCCTTGTGGGCTTTTCTGGGAGAGAAAAGCTTCTATTTCAGGAAGGGGCTGCTATGATTAAGGAAAGACCAGGGCAGCAAAGGCAGGTAGGCCACCAGGGGGAGAAAGGCTCCGGGTCCCCTGGGCCACATCCTCTGGAAGCTCCCGCCACAACTCGAATAATAAAGCAACCACAACAGGTGACGATGATGGTTTGTGAGGATGACTGTGTGCCAGCCACCAGGTCAGGGTCAGGTCCCTATTTTCTAGATGATGAAGGGGAGGCCCGGGGGTGGCCAGGGGGGGCTAGTCCCGGAGCTCAGTTAGGAAGCAACACAGCGGGGCCTGGGCAGCCTGGCCCACATGGCCACTACCCACCTGCCTCTCACCTCTCAAAGGGGGAGGGATGGAGTCAATATTCCATCAGCTCCAGGGGAAAACATCGGGGAGTTGCCAGCCCGTTTCCTCCTTAGCAGCATCCAGCCACAGTAAGTCAAAGGCTGAGGACATCAGGGAAGAGCAAGAGGCCTCTCAAGAAAGCGACCATTGTGCACCTCTCCAAAAAGGCTATTTCCTGCCTACTTCTTACCATACCCCCCTCCCCCGCCCTGCATGCTGAAGGTCACTGGCTGCTTCTGCACAAACCAGTGAAGTCACAAGAAGGAAAACTTGGCTGGGAACTGGGGGCTGGGGAGGGTGGAGGTGGAGACAGACGGGGGTGGAGTCGGGGGAGGAGGTGGCCAGGCCGGTCTGCGACAGGGGACCCTCCCAGAGTCGGCCCAATGGCCTGCCTTCCCTGCAGTGACAGTGACCGTGACCCGCTCCCGGGGGCTGGCTTGCCCGCACGCCCACAAACAGCCCAGCCTAAGGAGTCAGCCCGCATTCCTGGCTGCTGCTCCCTACTGCTCAGAAGGAAAGCTCTCTCGGAAGAGCTGGGAAGGTGGGTGCCAAGTTGAGGTTCCTTTCCTTCTTCTCACAGGGTGCTTTTGATGAGTTTGAACTGGGGCGGGGCAGCTGGCCTCTGCTTGGGAAAGTACTTGATTATCATCTTTTTGAGAGGGACACACCGATGGGCAGAACCTGGCTGCTCTGAGAGGGACGAGTGGGGAGGAGGGGGAAGGGAGGCCTCGGGGGACAAAGGAACTGCTGTCCTTTGCACCTGCCAAGGCCAGTCCCAGCGGACTTTAGTGTTTTGGGAAAATCTGGAGTGAGGAGGGCTGCCTCTCTGGATGGTGCAAGCCTTGGGTGGGCAGAGCCACCCGCTTAGGGGGGTGGGAGGGCCCGGCATGCTCAGGCTCACATCCGGGGCTCCTTCCAGGGGGTGAGCCAAGGGTTAGGAACACAGGGCAGGTGTCAGAAGGGCCACGGTCTTCCCAGATCCAGACCCAGGAAGGAGGCACAGGCCTCGTGGCTTCCTCTGTGCTCTTTCTCCGATAACTGTCTCTCCCAGGCAGGTGGTGGGGTCCCCCAAACCACATGGTCATTCCCAGCCCCATGGGGGGGGGCACTGTGCACATGCCAGGTGGGTGGGCCTCACGCGGACTGGCCTCCGGGAGGCAGAAGTCAAGGCTTGGAGCCAAGGAGTCAGGGCTCGCTTGGGGCTGCGGGCAAAGTTTTTCTCCTAAGGAGAAAGACTCTCCTTAAGATGCGAAGTATTCCCCAAGCACTCCTGAAAGAGAAGGTTTCACGGACACACCCTAAGCAATCTGTTTTTGCTCCGTTTTTAAGGAAGAGCTTTCCAATTGGCAGAGCCCTCCTGCAAGGCAGGACTGCTGGCGGGAGGGGGGAGGCGGGGATGATGAGGATGATGGAGAGCTTGCGGCTGAGGCCTGGGAGGGTCCCCGCTCCCGACACCCGCTCCCTGGGGTCCCAGGGCGGTAACCCCGTACCAGGCCATGTCTGAGGTGCTGGTACCCTGGACATCGCTTCCTGGGCTTCTCCGACCTTCCCGCCACTCCTTCTTGGATCCCTTCCTGGGCACCTCCCGCTCCCAGCGGATCGCCCTGAAAGTCCTATGAGCAGTTTCACTCTGGGTGCTAAGGGCTGCCAGACACTGGGGACTTTCAACCTACCAGGCCCTGTGCCACGTGCCTTCGACTCGAGAGCCGTTCAGTGTAGCGCCTGGACCACGCACACGTTTCAGTCCTGCTGTCGGCTACTTACTGAATATGTACACCTTGGGCAAGGCATTTGTTTCTCTGTAGCTCAGTTTCCTACTCTTTGGAACGGGGATCACAGGGTTCTCGCCTACCCGACAGGGCTCAGGTGACACTCCTGTGGCCTGCCACACACAAAGCGCTCTGGGGCGTGCCCGACTCGGGTTCACTACAGCAGTTACCCTGCAACTCTGCACGAGACCCTTAGAGAGTGAGTGGCAGGGTCAGGCTTCACATAGGCAGCTTCGGAATCCATCCTTTAAAAAAAAAAGATTATATTTATTTATTCATGAGAGACATAGAGACAGAGGCAGGGACACAGGTAGAGGGGCTCCCTGCAGGCAGTCTGATGCAGAACTCGATCCTGGGACCCTGGGATCCTGCCCTGGGCCAAAGGCAGACGCTCAACCACTGAGCCACCTGGGCATCCCCAAATCCATCCTCTTAATGGCCATACTAGATGCCTTCCTGTAATGGTTCCAGAAGGAGTAAATACTCCACCCTGGAGTTTGCTTTGAAAATGGTACCTGCCTTTGCAATTGCGGTGGACCCGCACACCAGTTCTGCGGGGGAAGCACTGGTCCAAGAGGACGGACTTAAAAACAGGAAGTCAGTCTGACATATAGCATCTCATCTGACCCTCACCGTGATCCTTGGTGACATTACCCAATTTTACGGGGAGCTGAGACAGAGTCAGTCCCTTCCCCCACAATCTTGCAATTAGCGGACGCTGGGATTAGGATTGGAATCTGTGTCTGACCCCAAAACCCTGGCTGAGTCCCAGAGTCTTTGATGGGAGCTTTAAAGTCATAAGAACTCAGGCCCACTGAGTCGGAATCTCTTGGGCCGAGACTCTCAGAATCCAGAATCCAACGTGCAGTTGACACTGAAAACCCCTCCCAGCGACGCTGCCCCTTCAAGTGCCAGACCCATGTTTCCAAAGGGCTCCCAAACATCCACCTGGGCACTGACCCCCCTCTCGCCCCCTGGTGGAGACGGGTCCCAAATCCATGCCCCCTCCGTCACTGCCGCCTCCACCCTGGGGAAGACCTCCGTCAGTTCCCGTCTGGGTGGCTGTAACCAGGCAACTCCTGTCCCTCTGGCCATCTCCCATTTTTTTCCTCCTCCGTGTCTCCATCTCTCCCTGGGCTATTCCCACCCCTTCTCCCTCGTCCCCCAAAGACCAGCCCACATCCTTTCTCGTGCCACGTTTCTCTCATCGCGCTCTGCTTTAACATTTCCACCAGCCCTAGAGCCCTCCTCCAGCTCCCCTGACCCCACAGCTAATATCCACAGTCCTCAAACCCAGGCCCTCAGCCCTTAGCTCTTTAATTCCCTCCTCCCTGGCCCCACAGGCCCTGCCGCCACACAGAATTTCCCCTCACGCCCGTTCACAGGCTGCGAAACATGTCATGTTGTGCCTCCTCCCAGAAACGGGCTTCCAACCTGGCTCGGCTCAAAAGCTGCTTGCCTTAAGAGGTCAAGTTCGGGTGTCGTCTCCTCCGGGAAGCCTTCCTGGAGTTCCCCCTCCCGGGGGTGGGCCCTCCCCCAGCACAAGACTCGCCCATCTTCGATCGCAGGATGGCGTTAGAATGACGTGATGACACGTCCGTCCGTCCGTCCGTCCGTCCGTCGGCCAGTCCCTCATTCAACAATCCCATATTAAATGTCGCCTGCAGCCAGGTGCGGGCCCAGGTGCTGCGGGGTGATGAGTAAAGCGGGAGTTTCTGTCCTGCAGTGTCCTGCGGGCGGGCAGGGAAGGGGGGATGAGGCGCTCGGGAGCGCGGGCACCGCTGGAGCCGCAAAGCCCAGGGAGGCGCGTGCAGCAGGTGTCAGAGGGTCCCTGAGGGAGGGCGCCTACGGGAGGGGCAGGGGCTGCGGCGGGCGGCCAGGGGAGGGAGGCCCTGACTGCCCTGCCCGGGCCCTCCCCGGGCCCGAGCGTGAGCCACGGGATGCCCGAGGGCGCGTCCCGTCCGGGTCTCCAGCCCGGGCACCGCCCCGGGGCGGAGGCGGGAGGGCACGCGGGGCCGGGAAGCCCCGGGGCGGGGCGGGCTCTCAGGCTCGCTCTGCCCCCCCCCCGCCCCCGGGGTGCCCGCAGGTGCCCGCCCCCGGCCATGCTGGCGCCCGCGCTGCTCTGCGCCCACCTGCTGCTGGCGGCCCCCGCCTCGCGCGCCTGGCCCGGCGCCGCCCCGGACGAGCCCGGCCCCGGCGCGGTGGCGGCGCAGCTCAGCGACATGCACGACAAAGTGACGGCCATCTGGCAGCAGCTGACGCAGCGCGCGGCCGAGCCGGGGGCCCCGGGCTCCGCGCTGCACGCCGCCTGCCGGGTGCAGCCGTCCGCCTCGCTGGACGCCGCGCAGCCGCGGGTGAGCGGCCTCGTGCTGTTCCGCCAGCCGGCGCCCGGCGCCCCGCTCGAGGCCTTCTTCCACCTGGACGGCTTCCCGGCCGAGCGCAACGGCTCCCGCCGCGCCATCCACGTGCACCGCTTCGGCGACCTGAGCCCGGGCTGCGAGGCCGCGGGGCCGCACTACAACCCGCGCGCCGCGCCGCACCCGCAGCACCCCGGCGACTTCGGCAACTTCGCGGTGCGCGACGGCCGCGTCCGGAAGCACCGCGGCGGCCTGGCCGCCTCCCTCGCCGGCCCGCACTCCATCGTGGGCCGCGCCGTCGTGGTGCACGCGGGCGAGGACGACCTGGGCCGCGGCGGCGACCCCGCCAGCCTGGACCACGGCAACGCGGGCCGCCGCCTGGCCTGCTGCGTGGTCGGCGTGTGCGGGCCGCTGCCCTGGGAGCGCGCGGCGCGGGAGCACGCGGAGCGCAGGAAGCGGCGGCGGGACAGCGACTGCGAGGCCGCCTGAGCGCCGGCCCCGGGCGCCCCCCCACCCCGGGGATGCGGCGGGGGGGGTGGGGGAGCCCCCTGCAGGCCCCGGCGCCCCTCCCCGCGCGCGCGCCCCCGGACCTGCACACCCCCCACCCCACCTCGACGCCCTCCCTCTGCCCCCTGCAGGCCCCGACGCCCCTCCCCGCGCGCCCCCAGACCTGCATCCCCCGCCCCACCTCGACGCCCTCCCTCTGCCCCCTGCAGGCCCCGACGCCCCTCCCCGCGCGCCCCCAGACCTGCATCCCCCGCCCCACCTCGACGCCCTCCCTCTGCCCCCTGCAGGCCCCGACGCCCCTCCCCGCGCGCCCCCAGACCTGCATCCCCCGCCCCACCTCGACGCCCTCCCTCTGCCCCCTGCAGGCCCCGACGCCCCTCCCCGCGCGCCCCCAGACCTGCATCCCCCGCCCCACCTCGACGCCCTCCCTCTGCCCCCTGCAGGCCCCGAAGCCCCTCCCCGCGCGCACCCCCGGACCTGCATCCCCCGCCCCACCTCGACGCCCTCCCTCTGCCCCCTGCAGGCCCCGACGCCCCTCCCCGCACCCGCGCCCCAGGACCTGCATCCCCCCTCCACCTGCCTCCAGCCCCTCCCTCTGCCCCCGGGGGCTCCCTCTCGCCATCTGAGGTCTCCCCAAAAATCCCTCCCCGCTGAGGCCCCCAACCACGTACGCAGACACGGCCGCCTGCTCCGGAAGGCAGCCCCCCACCCTCCGATACACTCATCCTGAGCTCTGAGGACCCCAGGACCTAGTGATGTGACCCATCTGCCCGCCCAGATACCCCTCCCTGCCCGCCCCACCCCGAGGTCCCTTCTTACCCTGACACCCCTCTCGTTATTCCAGGAGCCCTGAAATCCCACTTTGCCCTAAGGATTCGGTCCCTGCCACACCTTAGACTCCTTCGAGGGGTCCTGAGATCCCTCGTGAGGTTACCTAGCCCCGCCCCCTGCCCCCGACCGACCCACCACCTCTCATGCACGGTGCCAGCACCCGCTGCCTGCAGTCAGGCGCCCCTGCCCGGTGTCCTTAGCTGCCCCTCGCCCACGGCCACCCCGCACAGAGCTGCTCCTTGCCGGGGGGGGGGGGGGGGAGGTGGGTGCTGTTTGAGAGCCTTTGTGTTGCACATTAAAACTCAACAATTTAGACCTGCACTGAGGCCTTGGTTATTTATTTGGTTTGTTAGAGGCTCTGCTCCCGGCTCAGCTGCTACTTGGAAATAGCTAAGGTACTTCCCAAGTCCCTGCAGGATTTGTCCTTATGACCCTCCCTCCAAGTCTGCTGGCCACAGCGTTCAGTCTCTGGTTGTCATTCCGTGTGGATCCCCAAGATAGAAGGCACCAGGATCACGCAGGAAAGGGGGAAAAAATACGGCTTTCTGGGCTGGAATCCAAAGGGAAAGATGGACATCTATTTGCAACAAGCTTCCTGGTGATTCTGGGGCTGGAGTCACTGGCCTGGCACACAGCTACCACCGCCTCACTGGGCCTTGTGTCTCCTCGCATGTGCCTCTGAGTGCAGCCTCAGATCTGTTCCCCAGATGGTGGAGAGCACCCGGTGAAGCAGCCGAGTGGGCAGTTTACAGGGAGGTGGCATTGCTATCTGAAGTGGCTGGCCTTCTCCACGACCAGGACAAGGACAATGCTCTTCTTCTTGACTTCCTGACACAAAGGCAGTTGGAATGGCGGAGCCCAGTGGCAGGCTGATTTTGAATAAGACTTGGATGTTCAGCTTCTCTTTTTGAAAATTAGAATCTATACAGAGACTAGATCAGAAAGGGTATCCACCTTCATTTATTTTATTTAAAAAAAAATTATTAGAGAGAGAGAGAGAGAGAGCAAGCAGGGGGAGGAGCAGAGGGAGAAGGAGAGAGAGACTCTCAAGCGGACTCCACGCTAAGCGTGGAGCCTGATGCAGGGCTGATCCCAGGGCCCTAAGATTATGACCTGAGCCAAAATCAAGAGTCAGTGGCTTAACCAACTGAGCCACCCAGGCGCCCCTATCCGTCTTCATTTATTGAATAAAAGCACTCAGAATAACTTTCTAACCTCCTTGGGTAGACCCACTTTCTAGCTGCAGCTTTTCCACCCTGGTCACTCAGAGGCAGCTTCCATTGCTCCCAGACTCTCAAGGCAGTGAGTCAAATGGAGCCTTGGCCAGCACCCCATCCCCAGTGGTTATTTTTACTTCTTACTAGGACTAACTTGTTAATTAAAAGTCTTCCTCGAACCCCAGTTGACACCCGGAGAGAAAGGCTTTTGCCTGGTGACTTTGCCCCACCGAGTGGTTCTCACTGGTTTGAAGTGCTAACTTGAACGGGGCAGATGAGCACGGAAGGGGAGCCAGCAAATGGAGTCTTTAAATATCCCCATCTCAACAGATGTGTGTCCCTATCCCTACAATTAAAAGCTGTGAAAACGAGGAATCAGGTAGAGCCCACCGTGGAGAGGCACAAAAACCCCCTCTTGACTCTGCTGCCCCAGTGATGGGTTACTTCAGGGTCATCAAAGGAGGTTTGGACTTATTTTTAGGCGGAGATGGGTGCTTCTGACAGTCCATTTGAGCTATCTCAAAATGTCAGACTGAGCAGCCTATAAACAACAGAAATCTTTCTCATAGCTCGAAAGACTGGAAATCCAAGATCATGGCATCGGCACAGTCGGTCCCATAGAGCTGGCTTTGGGATCCACAGCCAGTGCTGTTCACTGTCCTTACATGCAGGAAGGGGTTAGGGATCTCTCTGGAGCCTCTTTTGTAAGGCTCCCCCGTCATGACTTTGGAACCTCCCTAAAGTGTCATGCCCTGTTACTATCACCTTTGGGCGCTAGGATTTCAGAGTATGAATTTGGGGGAGGGACACAAACTTTCACATCATAGCACCTTCTATTCTTAGTTTCTCTCTTCACTACCCTTGCCCCAGCCCCAAGACTAAACAGATACCCTAGCGGACCCATCCCATTTCCTTTCTGTCCATTAAGGGGAATTGGATTGATAAACTTTTCCATGCGGCTCCAGAGACGAAAAAACAAAGATACGAAATAATAGAAGGGTGAACTGCAGTTCACCATAGAGGCAGAGGTATGCATCTAGCAGGGTGGTTGACAGCTCAGTAGGCCTCAAGTAGGAAGGCCTGTTTGGAAGCCCAGCCCCGCCACCCTCAGAAGCTGTGTGACCTGAGTAAGTCACTTCACCCCTCTGGGCTTGGCTTCTCTCATCTGTAAAAGAAGATCATCATATTGTCGTGAGGCTTAAACCAAGCCTTATCTACGAGAGCTATATAGCGTAGCATGAAGACCTAGGTGTCTAATAAATGTCTACTGGACAGCAATGGCTAAGGTCGGAAAAATAGTTACCTACTAAGGCATTGGACTACCTTGTGAGGTAATGAGTGTCCTGCAACTAGAAGGATTCAAGTAAAGGAAAGGTTGCTTCCACTTCGGTTTGTAAGAAAGTTCCCGCATCCGTGAAGAGGCTGGCTGGGATGAACTCTGATCCCAGCTTTGGGGGGGGGGGGTGCAGGGGCGGAGGCAGGGGGCGGGAGCGAGTTCTGAGACCAAGGAAGACTGCGAGCCAGCGGTATAGGCAGGCATCTGGTTTTGGGCACAGAACCTGATGTGTGCCACCCAACCCGCCCACTGGACCCCACTTGGCCCTTGGAGGCTATTTTTACCCCTCTCATCTTACAGATCTGTTTTGTTAATCTCCTTATATTCGCTGTTTTGACTTCCCAGCCAGCTTGCTAATCAGTTTGCCTGTTTGACTCACAGGGTTTGCATTTGTCACTGAGACTTAAACACACACTTGTTTTGATTTCTTTTTGTAAAATTAGAAGCGTTTGATGTAATGACTCTACCTAGACACAGCTGGTAAAGTGAGAATAATGCTCAAGTTTGCACAGTTTAAACACAATGTAGACAATAATTAGAAATGCTATCTTTAGATGTTTAGGATAAGCTTTTTCTCAGAATTGCAGTGAGTTTTTTTTTTTTCCTGAGTGGGGCTTTTCAGTGCGTATATATACAGAAACACTAAAAACGTAAGAAAATAGAGCAAATCAGTGAGTGCTTTGGTCAACTTGAAAGACTGCAGGAAATAAACCAACTGATTTTAGATCTGGCATTTTTGACTGAATGCATAAAATCTTTACATTCTCCATAATTTTCATGACTGCCGTATGATCTAATAATTTTAGGTGACAGATTGCGACTGATAAGTTGTTACAGTATGCTAGAAGGAACAGCCTACATTGTGGGCCTGCAATGAGGGTAGAGAGAGAAAATGGTGCAAATAATAATCACCATTTATACCAGGTAATCAAAAAAGATATAGTACACGATGTTTGTAGAATCCAGTAACATAGGGTCTGCAAATGATAGAAGTTACTTCTTTCCTTAAATATAACTACAAGATAGCAGCTGGTTTGTGGCTTTTTTTTTTAAGCCAATTGTTTTAAATTTCATAGGCTATCAGTGGCCTCGGCTAAGATCCAAAATATATTCCTGGGCTCACGTAGATTCCAGAACGTCAAACTTGTCAGTATTGTACAGACTTTCCCTATTAGAAAAAAAAAATCCCCCTCAGTCGAGAGGGGCTGTGCAATGTAAGGCAGCACATCTGTATCTATCATTTTAAATTGCCTTCATGCTGTATCAACTTGCTTTGTTTTGTTTTTGGGAGCAATCATAACATCGAGAGACAGGTCCTTCTTATTTTTTCTGCTTTTCATTTCTAATTAGATTCACTACTGAGCTCTCTATTGCATCTCTGGTTTTCAAATTTTTCCCTGTTCAAAAAGACATCTGGAAAAAAAAAAGGGAATATGTTAAAGTAGTGGGTTAAGGGTGTGGGGGTTCTTTTTTGATATCCTAACTGAGGGTTCTTTTGGCTTTTTGACATCCTAACTGAGCCATGTCATGGTACCCTCGGTATTTATTAAGGACGGAGATTTTTTTTTTCCAAATGGAGGCTTCCAGAATGAAAGCAGAGGGCAGAGGGAGTAGGTACTCAAAGAGAGGACTTTTTTTTTTAAATAATTTATTTACTTGAGAGAGAGAGAGAGAACAAGCAGGGGCAGAGGGGGAGGGAGCAGGAGCCACCCCGCTGGGCAGGGAGACCAATGCGGGGCTCCATCCCAGGACCCCGAGATCATGAGCTGAGCTGAAGGCAGATGCTTAATCGATTGAGCCACCCAGACTCCCTCAGAGGGGCCTTTTTCAAAGAGAAGTTAGGACACCACGCCGACCAAAGGGCTGCAGAAAAGCGACAGAGTGAGGAGAAGCCCCAGTTTTTGGAGGAGCAGAAAACCAAGAGGGGCGAGGGCCTGCTGTAATTTTAAGGAAACATGGTAACACCAACCAGCTGGTAGCTGGTCTTTGAAATTCCCTGAAGACAGAATGAACCTTTTGTGTCCCATGGTGAATGGGGGTGTGAATGCCCCCGTGGGCCTCACTTCGGATGTCCAAAGATTCACCCCAATGCCCCAATGACTCATGCCAGAACCCATCCTAAGACCTCCTCGTCGCGATGGTGGCGTGTGCCGGGGACTGAGGGCCCAAGAGGAACGGATGATGGGAAAATGCACTTAGTTTGAGATTGCCAGGTGGAGCAGCTCCAGCCGGGGCTGAGCTGGGTGCCACCGGGGGCCTCCGAGCTAGCTCGGCGAGCGAAGCTTCTGGAGTAGCTGGTGGAGCTGCGAGGGGGAGATGAAGGCGGGCAGCGGGGGCATGGAAAGAGGCGTTAGGCGTGAGAAGTGCCCAGTTTAAAACAGCCACTGCATTTCCAGGGGCCTTAATTAAAAGAACGACACACGCTCATATGTAAAAATCCACACCTAGAGGCTCTCCGGTACCGAGCGGTCACGAGAAATGCAGGATGTGCAAACAAGCTTTCATTAAGAGACCTGTCGGCTCCGTTTCATTTATCCAGACTCCTCTGCAATCTGCCAGCAACTGAGCTGGAAAAATAGTGCAAGGACAGACACACTTGAAGAGGCGGACAAAGGTGGGAACGTCCCAGTGACAAAACAGAGCAGATGATAGAGCAGCCAGGGAAGCGCAGAGATGGGCCGGCTTTGTACTTCACCAACACCCAACTGCCGCCCTCCCCCCCAACTCCAGACTCTCAGGAGCACAATATTCTGGCCCTTTTAAGGGAAGAAAATGAAACAAAAGCAGATGTGGGGTTCAGGGACAGTGCTCCTGGGGGCCCACGCACACCTAGTCTCAACTTGCCCCTACTTTTGCTCGACACCTGATTTTGTTTTGGCGTCCACGCTTTTAGGGTCTGCATGTCCCATTCACATGGTGATCCTGAGGAACCCACCCCCTTCTCGGTAATTCCATCTCCCTCACCAGGGGCTGGTTTAGACAGAGGCGTGTGATGATTCTGGCCAATGACATGTGACAAGAACTAGGTTTCTTGCTCTTACATGCATGCACGCACACATGCATGCACCGACATGGGGAAGATACTTCCTTCTTGCCTTTGGACACGAATGCGAGAACAGGTGATTGATGCTGGAGCTGTGGCAGCCCTCTTGGCAGCTTGGGGGAGTGGCTGACACCGAGGCAGGCAGATGGAAACCCAGATCCTTGACGAATTGGCGAATAAACCAGCCCCGGGATATCCTGCTTCTGAAGTTCCTGTTATGCAACAGAATTCATTTCCCTATTGTTTAAGTTTCTTCAAGTGTGAATTGTAGCTGAGGGTACTCAGACTGATGCAAGGTTACCCGGTGGAAGCGGGGGAGAGAGAATGCTGTGCACTTCCACGATGACTCTCAGAAAGACAAAAAACAGCCAGAAGTGATTGCCGAAACTCCCTTTAATGTCTGTGGAACAGAGGAGCCGCGTTGGGCTGGAACGGCAGGGGCGAGACAGTGTCACACGGGCATATGGGGCATTGTCAAGGTTACACATGTGAACAGGGTCAAGTCATTGGCTCCAACTCCATCTAGTGACACAAAACCCTCCCAGGCAGACTGCACACACAGTTCGGGTTATCAGTCCCTCTGCCCCCCACCCCCACCCTGATCCCCACCCTCTCTGGGACTCACAGTAGTTTCCCCGCCCGTGATGGAATGTGATGGAGTTTGTTATAAGCACTGCTTTCCAGCAGGTGATTGAATGGGCCCTAAAGATGTGCACCTGGCCGACTGTGTGTCAAAACCAGAGCTTCCGTGGGGAGAGATTTTTCTTTTTATTATTATTGTATTAAATCTGGCTGTGATTTCCTTTGGTGGCTCTGGCGTACGATGCAGCAGTGCTGAACATTTGCAGATAGTTAAGGCCTAGTGCCGCAGGAAAATTATTTCTGTGGCTGCTGGCCTGTGCAAGCTCTGCAGCTGCAGAAGCCACCTCCCCGGAGAGGAAGCGGAGGTGGGGGGGTCTGGGGGGGCAGGGAGACGCTGAAGCGCAGGGGGATGAGTGGGGCACCGGGGCCTGACGGGCAGGGGCAGGTGGTGCGTCCAGGAGCAACAGCGCCCCGCCTCGGACATGCCCCTATTCCACTATTGGGGTGACCTCTGCTGAGTGGTAGGAAGGCAGCTGGAGGCCCACCCAGGCCCCAAACTGGACCTTCTTGTCTACACTCTGCTCGCCTTCACGGTGAGACAGCACAAAATCCGACAGAGCTCCTTCTCCGCTGGCAGAGTCACGCCAGAGGTGACACGTGGCGGGCTGGCCGCCCCCGTGCAGGGTGCTCACCTGGGATCACAAGCCTGCTGCAAACATCTGATGTTTCGGATGAATTTTCATCTTGCCCACCCCGGGAGCCTCTCTTTTTCCTGCAGGAGAGCCTCTCAAAGGAGCGATTCTGGTTCTTGGTGGGTGTGTGTGTGTATTGAGCTTTGGGATCTTGTATCAGGCCTTTCTGGGGGTAACGAACTGAGGTGAGCTCAAAGAAAGGTCTATTGTTTGACGAGCCCTCAATTTTCCATAGCTCCAGATGCCGCCTAGAAGAGCTAACTTTATCTGGAAGGAAAGGACCAGGAGGTTGGACATCCCCTCCTCCCCACCCTTGATTCTTGGTTCCCCAGTCCCCCGAAACAGGCTGTAATGAAGTTACTTTGTTTTCCTCTGTCTTTCCACTATCTGGGCAACTTGCTCTGTGTCTTGTCTCTAAGATCCCAGTACCTGGTGGCAAGGGGGGGGGGTGGGCAGCCCTAACACCGTGTGGAGGCCCGGAGGGTTTCACGCAGCACAAGAAACTGGATTGGCCCTAAGCAGCAATTTCTGTTTATCTCGCCCCAACCCCACATGGCCAGAAAACCCTACAGGCCAGAGAACCCTATATGCATCACAGGTTAAATGCAGAGAAGCAGCATTCCCAGGTTGTGGCTCTTATCTCAGAAACAAAAAAATACCTTCGGAGTCCCCCTCCTCCCGTCTTCTCCCTCCCATCACTCCAGGTCGATTAATCCTCCAGAATTACAGGCCGGAGAACGCAGCTCTAGCAGTCAGCAAACAGGTCTCCACGGGGACAGTGGATTTCAATCCGGGAAACCCAACCTTCTGAGCCCGAGTAAGCCCCTGCGCACCTGCCAGTCGGTGCCAGGACAGACAGGGCCGCGGGTGGGGTGCCCAGGACACCCACGCTGGGAGGTCCCCCCGGCCCCGACATGAGGAGGCAGAGCCGAGGGCCCTCTGGACCCATTATGCTCAGTGACACCTTTCTCTCCGGCCGCCTAACCGTCACAAAGACGGGGACCTGATGAAAAACCGCATCCGTTTCTAGCTCTTGCCATAATTTTGATCGACAACATTAAACGCTAATAGAAAAACATCTTATCTCTAATAAAACTAACGCTGGCGGGGAGACAGATCCGAACCCAGCCGTGTGGCCGCCGCGACTCCGGGCCTGCCCGTGTCCGCGGCGGGGCGTCTCCTGCAGAAAGATGACACGGAGGAGCCTGAGGACCCGCATTTAATAAATCAGACTGTGCCGGCACCGTCAGGATATTCAGGGTGCCGCAGGGCCCGCGCCTCCTGTTGCTCGCAGACGGGGGGGACGGGTCTCAGGAGAGCGGCTCCCCCGGGCTGCTCTGAGGCTTCCCGCACCCCCCGCGCCCCAGCGTGTCACCCCGCGGAGCCCTCGCCCCTCAGGTTTGCAGGGCGCTCCTGCCCGCGCCACCACCCCCGGGGGGCTCCTTGCTGTCCCCCGGGGCCGAGGCTCCGGCTGCTGCCTGGCTGGACTCAAAGGAGCCCGGGCGAGATTTGGGGGCGTCCCCCCTGCAGGCCATCTGGTGCCTCTGGGCCACCCCGGGGCTCGCTCGGCTGAGCCCTTCTGGTTCCAGCGCTGTCTGTGCCTCTGTCATTGTCGTGATTTCCCCCGACAGCCTGTCGGTCCCTTCTTCCTCGGAGGCCACCGAGGGGTCGCACCGGTCCCTGTGGCTCTGGCTCGCCGGGGCACGGACAGCCGGTCTGCCCGCATCCTCTGGGGCGCCCCGGCTTTCATCGCCATCCGGCTTCGGATCCTCCCCTGAAACAGAGCCAGACGGCGTCAGACCTCTGGCCTCACCTGTCTCTCCTCCCGACCTCGGGCCCACATCACGGGGACTCGGAGGCGGGCAAGGCCGCTGCGGGGGATTGGGGACGTGGGGTAACAGAGGAAGCAGCCACCCCGGCGACTGCGGGGTCACCGGCGGAGGGAAGGGGAGCGGAGGCCGTGGTCCGCAGCCACCCCTTCCCGGCACCTGCCATCTCCTGCTTCCCCCCCAGCCGCGCCTCCTCTGGAAGCATCTCAATTGCGGACACAGGTTCTGCAGATCCCGCGGCTCAGCAAAGACCTGGGATGTTTAGTAACGAAAGGAGGTGCTGGTGGCCTGCCGGGTGGGAGAGGGAAAGAACAGTGCGGGAGGGATTTAGGGTCCTCCGTCCTCCCATTCGCCAACAGCACCTCATCCTTTGATGCAGACTGCGGATGCTTCTTTGGTTTCTTTTTAAATTCTTTTAAAAAGATTTTATTTGTGTATTTACTCATGAGACACAGAGAGAGGGGTAGAGACACAGGCAGAGGGAGAAGGAGGCTCCCTGCAAGGAGCCTGATGTGGGACTCGATCTCAGGACCCCAGGATCATGCCCTGAGCCGAAGCCAGATGCTCAACCACTGGGCCCCCCAGGTGCCTCTCTTCAGTTTCAGTAAGTGCTATATGCAAAAGAAATGCTAAGCTCCCCACCCCTCCTAATGAAATTGTTCTGCCCAAACCTTTTCTCTAAATATCAGAAATTTTCAGGGTGCCTGGGTGGCTCAGTTGGTTAAGCCTCTGGCTTTGGCTCAGGTCACGGACCCAGGGTCCTGGGATCGAGTCCTGCACTGGACTCCTCACTCAGCAGGGAGTCTGCTTCCCCCTCCGCCTTTCCACCCTGCTCATGATCTCTCTCTTTCTCTCTCTCTCTCTCAAATAAATAAATAAAATGTTTAAAAAAAATAAGAAAAAATTTCCGAGCCCGACTAGACTGGCAGGGGATGGGAGGGAACGGGGTCCTGAGAACTTGGTGTGTAGCCCCATCCTCCTCCTCACTACCCTGTGATCAGGAGAACTTGTCTGGCCTCCTTTCCTCAGACACAAAACGAGGGGCAGGACTCTCCGATGTCCCTTCCAGACCTAAGCAGCGGTGGCTCTGCAGGCCTGAGCCACACTTTGGCTGCCACCTCCCAGCACCTGGTCGTGTGCATTCAATGCCAGGCTCTGAGGTTTGCAGAGGTCAAGGTTTTCTTAGTCCTCAGGCCAAACGGGTGAGATGCACGGAAGAGTCTCACGGGGCTGATTTCAGGGGAAGGAGTCTGGGGAACACTTCCGGGTACCCTCAATGGGACCTGGCAGGCCTCGGATACACGGGGATGCTTTCAGGCTGGCAGCTGGGACTCGGGGAAGCTGAGGGAGAGCTCAGGATGGCGAGAAATCGCTGACCCGTTCTGACCATCATCTGCCTGCCTGGGACCTTTCCCCGGAGCCTCGCTGCTTCCAGGATCCATTTTCATTCCTTTCACGTAGATCTCTGCCCGCAGCCTCATTTCCTACGGTTCTCTCATGTCTGTGTGTCCTTCCATGCAGTCTGTGCTATCCTGCAGTCTCTGCAGGCACCTAGGGGCCCCCCTCCCTAAAGTGAATCATGCCAGCTGACGCAGTTTAGGTGCTTTTCTGTGCCAGGCTCGGTGCTCAGCATTTTACATGTTTATCTTATTCCAGAATGTAAGCAATGGGGGGGGGGTAGGGGGGCTCACCTGACTTGTTCATAGTGCTTGGCATATTCTAAGCATTCAAGAATGTTGATAAAGAGTTCCTCACTTTCCTATTTGGATAACATACATAAAAGTGTGCCCATCGTTAAGTCTACCCCTCACTGAATTTGCACACTGGGGACACACCCATGGAACCAGCAACCAGGACAAGGGGCGAAATATCACCAACTCCCTACAGCCACTTCCCAGTCTCCTCCCCTAGGTTCCTTCCCAGCTGCTCTACTGCCAAGAGTGACCACTGGCCTGCACGAGACACCAAAAGATGAGTTTTGCACGGTCCTTGGAGTCGGTGCACGAGGACCGTACTGTATATCCTGGGTCGCGTCTGTGTTGCTCTAGGTGTATGAGACTGATCTATGTTACTGTCTGCGGAGTTGGTTCATTTGAATGCACCACAGTGTTCAACAAATATTTAAGCACCGAACGAAAACAAGCAGTCCGCAAGGAAATACAAATGGAGGGCAAACATGAGAAACGACGACATCGAGCTACCTAAAGATACCGAAATTGCAAAGAGATGCAATTTTTCATCTACCGGACTGGAAAAATTAAAAGGTTTGCTAAAGCTCAGTGTTGCTGAGGATGTGGGGAAACAGGTACGATCATACATTACAGAGGAGAATACAAATGAGCAAAACGCTGGGACAGGGCATGTAGGCAGTCTCTGTCACAATCCTGACGACGTTTACCCTTTGAATCAGCATTTTCATGATTAGGAATCTGCCTGTGGATGTTGGCCCAAATATTTCAAGATATACGTACCTAGATGCTCAATATGGCATTGTGGTTTTATTTTTGTTTTTGAAGATTTATTTATTCATTTGGGGGGGGGAGGTAGGAGCAGAGGGAGAGAATCTTCAAGCAGACTCCCCACTGAGTGCGGAGCCCAACTCAGGGCTCAATCTCACCACCCACGAGATCACAACCTGAGGCAAAACCAAGAGTTGGATGCTTAACTGACAGCGCCACCCAGGTGCCCCAGGACATAGCTTTTTTTTTTTTAATTTTTATTTATTTATGATAGTCAGAGAGAGAGAGAGAGGCAGAGACATAGGCAGAGGGAGAAGCAGGCTCCATGCACCGGGAGCCTGACGTGGGATTCGATCCCGGGTCTCCAGGATCGCGCCCTGGGCCAAAGGCAGGCGCTAAACCGCTGCACCACCCAGGGATCCCGGACATTGCTTTTTTTGTAGCAGAAACCTAGAGAGAATCTGAGTGCCCCTCAGATTCTGTTTATATTCGCAGAGTTGTAAAAATTTTTTTGGTGGTGTACACTAAAACTTGTAAGTTGTGTCTAGGGGGCAAGCTGAGGGTCAGGACAGAAAACAAGCATGGACGAAGACTTTAATTTTATATCTTTCTGTGTCATTTACATTTCACTCATTCATTCATTTATTTTTATTTATTTATGTATTTGTTTATGTATTTATTTATTTATTTATTTATTTATTTATTTATTTATTTATGTAGGCTCCACGCTAAGCACAGAGCTGAATGCAGAACTTGAACTCAAGACCGTGAGATTAACACCTGAGCTGAGATCAAGAGTCGGATGTGTAGCCAGTTGAGCCACCCATTTGCCCCTCTGTGTCACTTATATTTTAAACATGTGCTTGTGGGATGCCTGGGTGGCTCTGTGGTTGAGCGTCTGCCTTTAGCCCAGGGCGTGACCCCGGGGTCCTGGGATCGAGTCCCGCGTCGGGGTCCCCGAAGGGAGCCTGCTTCTCGCTCTGCCTACGTCTCTGCCTCTCTCTGTCTCTCATGAATAAATAAAAATCTTTAAAAAAATAAACATGTGCTTGTATTATTAATTTAAAAAGGTAAGATATGCAACCCGCAAGATTTTATCACCAGTTACGGTCTCGGCTTCCCTTTTCCGCACTACGCTGTAGACCTACGAGCCTCCATCCGCGGCTTCCATTGCCCGGCGTGGATTCACAGCTCAGATCCTTCCGTCTGGCCTGCGTCCTTCCTACCAGCCAGCGCTGTCACCACATCCAATGCTCCTCTCCGTCCCCTCCTGTCTCCTCTGTAGCATGTTTCTAAGGGCCACATCCACCTCTCGAGCTTCTCTCCCTTTTGTTCCCCAAACACTGTATCCTTCTGTTTCTCCCTCAACCCAGCTCGGTAAGGATGCCGTAGTCATTTCCCGTAGCTGCTGGAACAAATCACCACGGATTCAGCAGCTTCAAAGAACACGCATTTATTCTCTTATGGTTCTGGAGGTCAGAGGTCCAAAATGGCTTTCGCTGGGCCAGCACCAAAGCCACACGACCTTGGAGGCTCTAGGGGGAAGATGTGTTCCCTGCCTCTTCAGCTTCTAGTGGCTGCCAGCGCTCCATGGCTTGCAACAGCATCCCTCCAACCATCCCTGCCGCGTGGTCACACTGTCTTCTCTCTTCTGTGTCTGCCAAATCTCTGTCTGCCTCCCTCTTACAAGGAGACATAGGAGTCCATATAGGACCCAGCTGGCTAATCCGGAATAATCTCTCCAGCTAATCCAGAATAATCCTCTGTCTCAAAGTAAATCAATCATGCTGGCATGTGCTTTCACCCATCAAAGGCCACATTTACAGGTTCCAGGAATTAGGACCTGAGATCTTTAGGCGCCATTATTTAGCCTACTCTGGATGCCTCCTGGGTTCCAGATCTCCCTCTGGCCCCTCAGAGTGGGCCCCCCTCAGCTATGTGCCATGCGTTTCCCTTGTCTTCATTCACTCTCACTCCCTGGCCATCTCATGACCTCAATTCGGCTCCCACATCTGTGTCTGTGGCTCTGACCCCTTTCTGCCGGTGATGCACCTCCTGGTTTCTGGCTGCCAACTGGATTCCCCGACCTGGATGATCTGGAAACCTCCTCCCCCTTCAGCCTCCCCCAGTAGGTGTCCTGGGGCCTGCCATGCCAGGACTGGGTGCGTGGCGATTTGGGCTTCACACCTTGTATTACTGTTCTCTCTTTTCCTACCCATCAACCGCCGGGTAGTACTTATGACCTCTGGGCCATGAACCGAAAGCAACCTCTCCACCACCCAAATTTGAACGTGGAAACCCCAATCCTGAAAGTGATGGTATTAGGAGGTGTGGCCTCTGGGAGGTGATTCAGTTTAAATGTGCTCATGAGGGTGAAGGCCCCATCATGGGATTACTGCCCTTTAGAAGGGGAAGAGAAACCAGAGTTCTTGTTCTCTCCGTCTCTCTCTGTCTGTCTGTCTGTCTGTCTCTCTCTCTCTCTCTCT